CCGCAGCCCAGCAATGCTGTTTGTGAACAACCAGGATGTCTTTCTGTTGTGGTTCTGGGACTCCATAGAGGCAGGGTTTTACAAATGAGTTCTCTCAATACTTCGGCTTTGTTGTGACAAAACAGAGTCAGTAAACAGAGATAAGGAACAGAGTCTCAGGAAGCAGGGTCAGGAGCCAGAGGGAGTAAGAGGAGACCCACCCTTCCCACGAGAATTGGCCATAGAGGCCTGGCACCCCTAGGCATGGTACTTGCACATGAGATCACCCAACTTCTAGGGGTGAGGCTCTGAGAATGGTAGCACTCATTCTTTCATTCTAGAATATAAAAAACCCCAGAGGAGACCAACTATACACCTGCACTGACTCTAGGGAAGCCCCATGCAGGTTATCAGGCAGGCAGTTCTTGACTTTTACAAAAGTGATTGAGAGACCGTAGGATCTTTGAAGTAGATGCAATGCCACTGGGAAAAGGGGGGCACTGTCTGTGGCACAGTAAAGACTAGAAGTGAAACAGGTCGCCTAGACTCAGAGAACATGACCGATGGGACTCAGCCTGCGGAATCTTTCAACCTGAGTGTTTTCCCACATTCCCAACTACAATCAGTGGAGGAAACCTCAGCTCAGGGAGGGGTGGAGCTGCTTTCAGGAATCAAGGGGCAGACTTACCTCTGAATGTGAGGGGACATTGCCACCTACATCAGAGGGTGACCTCCACCCAGATGTCAGTGCCTGGGGGATGCAGTGCACCTTTACCTACGCATCTTGGTGTCAGGCAGGAGTGGCCCTGCTCTGAGGAGTGTGGCCTCAGGTCACCAGATTCAAAACATGAGAAGGTGGCCCCGATGGCAGTGTAGGGTGGCCAAAGGCTGGACAGCAGAGAACACTCACCTTGGCCCGTGCTTTCACCTCTGTGTCCTAGGAAATGCTGGACCTGATTTGCCAGTAGTATGTGCAGGTGGACAATGGGGAAATAGGCATAGCTGGGCCTGTACCACGTGAAGGGAGGACGCTTGATTCTCCTCCTCTGTCATTCTGGGAAAACCCCTACAGAGATGTCCAGATGTGCTACAATTTTTTCTTCCTAGGCTCAGGGAGGTGGCCTTCCTGTGAGGATGTTGACCTGTCAAAGAGAAGTCCTGTGGGCAAAAGGAGCAGGCCAGAGTCAGCTGGGAATCAAGGAGAGGAACCCAGGTGAGGAGGGAAGGCTGTTTACACTGGTGCATGTTTGTAACAGGTAATGATTACGTTCATCGTGGAAATTGCTACCTGTGCAAGACACATGTCCATTCTTTTTATTCTGCTCCTGTCTGCCTGCATCTGTGGAAAAAAATACACGTGTGCCTGTGTGTGTGTGTGTGTGTGTGTGTGTGTGTGTGTACGTGTTTGGAGGCATCACTATCACATTTCTCAGTATTACTTCCCCTTTTATATTTAAGTTTTTACTGCTCCCCCTTTCCCTCCTCACTCTTCTCTTTGGCTTCCTAACTGAAGATCTATCTCAGTACTCAGTATTATTTATTCTTTTTGTCTCGTTATTTATGTTGTGTATTTCTCATATAAGAGGAAAGATGCAATGTTTAAACGTGTATGTCTGATTATTTCACCTAAGGTTGGCCTCTTGAAGCGCACACACTTTCCCACTAAGGTCCCACGTTTTTCCATTTCCTGGGAGAGTAGTACTCATTGTGCATAAACAGCACACCTTCTTTATCTATCCATCTGGTGATGGACGTATAAGCTCCTTCCAAGATGTAGCTAGGTCAATTTTGCTGATATAAACATGAGTATGTATGCATCTATCACTGCATTATGATATGTTTATTTCTTGTGAAACAAACCTAGAAGTTGAATGCAATGTCTGGTGTAAGTTTAGAAATAATCTCCATATTGATTTGCACAGTGGTTGCACCAGGTTCCACTCCCATCAACACGGAGTAAGTGTTCCTTTTCCACCTGCAAGCACATCACATTTGCTCATATTTGATTTCTTGAGAATATACATTCTTCCTGGAAAGTGATAAATGTCAGTGTTAACTCCGGTTGTGTTTATTGCATGGCCAGCAGGGTTTGACATTTTTTTTCATGTATTTCTTGGCCAGTTGTACTTTATCTGAGAATTATTATTCCTTACAGAACCCAGTTTCTTGATAGAGTCTTTCAATTTTGAGGAGGTATATTATTTTGAGTTTTATATATTCTAGATGTTATTGCCTTGTCTAAGGTATAGCTAGGTTTTTTCCACAACTGTAGATTATCTATACACTATGTCGTGTTTCCTTTGCTGTGCAGAAGCCTTTAATTTACTATGATCCCATTTTTCAATTCTTAGTATTTTCTTGTTTCTTTATGTCCTGTTCTGTTCCATTTACTTCAAAATCTGGTTTTTTTTGCCAGTACCATGCTTTTTTATTATTAGTTTGTACCTTAATTTGAGGTCAAAATGCAGGTGGGCTATTTATAGCAGCACAGTTTGTAGTAGCTAAATCTTTGAAACAGTCTCTATAGCTTTGAAATTTTGTGTTAGTTGTTTCTAAATTCCTGGGGTTCTACTTTTCTTACCTGATTTTTTTTCTCTCCCTCAGTTGGGAATTTCCAGACTGTCAATTAAACACTTGGAGAGGCCGAATTGCTATTCGTCACCACTCTGCTCTTCTCCAGCACTGAAGCACTGAAGGTACCACACTATATAAACAAAGGGGCTCCAAAGACCCTGACTTCCCCTGTTATCAACCTGTAGTTCTGGTGTGTGTGGCTGTATATGAGCTGTTCATATATGTACTATGTATTTGGAGGTGGGAGAAATCCAGTACGTGAGGACCTTGGTCCAAATTCAGACCATGAGTTATTAGAGTGGGCTACATATGGTTAGTTATTGAAGACCCAGATACTCACAGACTCAAGGTATTGAACTTCCCTGAGAACCAATAAAGTCTAAAGCTCAAAATCAATAGACTCACAAAGTCATCTTGTTTAACAAGTCAGACCTGGAAAGCTCTTATAAGCTTTATTATTTTTACCAAGGCTCAGGAAGATAGTCTTCAGGGGATGAAGTCTTGACTACAAAGGAGCAATCAGTGCATCTCAGGTGGGGTAGGAGTGAGGGAGTGCAGCTCCAACACCAGGATGATGGAGAAACTACAGAAACATGTAAGGGTCATCTTACTGTTGTTCTCATTGCTGAAACACAATATCTGACATCTGAAGTTTAGTGGAAGTAAACATGATTTAGGCTCACAGTTTATAGAGATTCCAATCCACAGTTAGTCTACTTCAAGGTAGTGCAGCAGAGGGAAGGCATGCTGGAAGAAAAACTCCCCATAAGTCGTCCAGGAAGCAGGGGGGGGGACCAGGAAGGAAGATGCACCCTCTGTATCATACTAGGTACCCTCGTCTTCCTAAAAAGTCCCATCTCTTAAGAGTATGTCAACTACACATGCACATAATGCAGTCACCTATCAATGGCCTTGCCTCTGAGCATCTGAGTCTCCTAAGGAAAATCTAGACTGAAGCCATAGCAAGGGTCCTGAATTGCAGCACAGAAGGGTGTAGGGCCTTCTGTCAGCATTGAGTTCCTCATGAAGTGGAGACATGATGGGTGCCTGCTCACTTCCTTTGGGAAAACTGAAGATCTCAGAGAGGCAAGGGACTAGACCTCAGTTGGTAGCTTCAGTTTAGAACAGGGAAATCCACCAGGTGAGGTGACTCATGAGTGGCCCATTCTCTACCAAGAATCAAGACGAGTCCCCAAAGGCAGGAGTAAGGTCACTCTTGACCTGAACATCGACAGGGGATGGTCCTCTGACACTCCACCTCTGCTTGCTCTCATCTCCTGAAACCTGGCCAGGGATTTGTAATTGATGGTACTCCCTTAGAGCTGCCTGATTGGTGTCAGTGAGGTGAAAGCCTTCGTAAAATTGCACTGGATGTAGGACAAGAAAGGTAGGACCCAGCATCTATCAAGGCTCTAGGTGAGGCAGAGGGAACCCTCTTGCCTGAAGACAAAGCAGCCTGCCCTCAAATTGTCCCATGTTTCAAATGTAGTCAGACCCAGGGGACACAGGTGACCTCCACCCCCCACATTTTCTGTGAGTACCTCACTGCAGTGTTGTTGTGTTTTAATGAAGGCAGCACAAAGTCATTGTAGAGAGGGTCCTAGACATAAGCATTTGCCAGGATGAAGATGGAACAAGTTTGTTTCTTGGACACCTGTATTCACTAAAATGTATAAACTTCAGCTGTTGTGCCCAGAAAGCTATGGCCATACATGGTGTCCCTGAAGTGCCTTTATTCACTACCAGGGTGAGAGACACTTTTTATCTGAGAGTTTGCTCAGCCCAGCGGAGAACTGGGATCGAGGTCCTGCTTCAGGACATTTGAGGTACCTAAGCAAGCAGAGAATAAACCAGTCACCCAGAACAGTGGGGTGATCACAAGGCAAGTCCATCCCTACTATGAGGAATGGGGTTACAGGACTGTAGTCCTGTTTTGCAGGCAAGGTTTCTCCAGGTCTTATTGGAGCTCCAGGAGACAGGGGAGGAGGTTATGGTGTGGAGCAGTCAAGGAAAGAGCGTGGGCGTGGCACACGAAGTTGTCTTCAGAATCCTCAGACAGGGGAGGAGGTCAGTTCACTCAGCACAGGACACTCAGGCGGTGCCAGCAGAGAAGGCGAAGTGCCTGCCCTGACATGGACCAGTGATTGTCCCTATCCCTGTGTGGGACACTTCATAGTTCTCAGGCTTTATGTCCTATAGAGTCTTCCTAGAGCCTTGTCCTATGAGTTCAACTGCAGTGTGTGAAGCAGCCTCTTTTCTTATCCCAGGATCACAGGGACAGGAGTTTGTGAAGCCAAAGCATCCCTCAAAGTGGAGACCTATCATAGGCCTTTGCAAGGGTCTATAAGACTGTGCTTCTCAGCTGAGGACACTAATAGTCTCCCTCTCTCCTCCAGGGATCTGACTCCTGAAACAACAAGGTCTAGCTGTCATCAGAGAACATCATGATGCATCGCAGTGACAAAAGCCAAGATAAAAAGCTCAGGGGACGCCATCCTGACCACAGTAGTGCACGCATCCTCATGGATGTACAGGGCCCCAAGGATGAGGAGGGAGCAGCCGCCACTGCTTCCTCTGCACCTTTCTCCCGTGCTTTATTTGGGGCCACATCAAGGAAAGAGAATCCTCAGAGTCCTCAGAGCATCCCCTTTCCCCTCAATGTCATGGCTTCCAGTGAAGGCAGTCAGTCTTGTGAGGGCTCCAGCAGAGAAGATGAGGGTCCAAGTACATCAGAGGACAAGGATTTACTTCAGTTCCTGCAGCGTGTGTTTGCAAATGATAAGTTAGATAAGATTCTGCGATTTCTGCTTCAAAAATATCAAAAAAAGGAGCAGATCACCAAGGCAGAAATGCTGCATATTTTGGATCGTGACTACCACGATCACTTCCCTCTGATCTTTCCGGAGCTCTGTGAGTGTATGCGTTTGGGCTTTGGCATTATTATGAAGGAAGTGAGTCCCTCTGGCCAGAGATATGAGCTTGTTCCTGTCTTGGGGCTCACTTATAGTGGGATGCTGGATGATGATGAGCATATTATTCCTAAAGCCGACCTCCTGATACTCATCCTAAGTGTCATCTTCCTAAAGGGCAACCAAGTCAGTGAAGAGCACCTGAGGGAAATGCTGAGATATAAGCAGATATTAGCTGAGAGAGAGAACGTTGTTTTTGGGGATCCCTGGAAATTCATCACAGAGGATTTGGTACGGGAAGGGTACATTTTGCGCCAGCAGGTTCCTAACAGCAGCCCTGCTCGCTATGAGTTCCTGTGGGGTCCAAGGGCCCATGCTGAAACCACCAAGCTGAAAGTTCTGGAGCATGTATTTGCGCTTGATGGGTTAGATTCCAGGGCTTGCCCACAATCCGTGAGCAGCGTTTGAGAGAGTAAAATGTTGTGCTGGATGCCTCTGAGGGGAAGATGGTGGCAGTGAGAGGGAGTGTTTCACCAGCATGTCAGAGGCTTAATTCCCACCCCTATGAAATGAGGTCCATTCTTTGCCTGTGTTTATGGTGTCCTACGTAGTTAAGGGGTGGTGGAGGGGGTAAAGTATCATGCATAGCATCTTAATGTCTCTTCTGTTTGTGCTACTTGAAGATTCAGCAATGTTTCCTTTATGAATTTTGAAATCTTTTTCCTTTTTTGAGGGACGGAAGTAGATTGAAAATATGATTTGAAGAATAGTTCTCATCTCACATGTATTTTTCTTTCTTAGTATAATTGTTTAACTGTGAATTCTGACCCAAACATGATTTTTTGACATTGATCACAAATGGATTTTGCTTTAGCACTGAAAGTGTAAGATTTGCTCCTGTTTTGTCAAACAGTGAAAGTTTTATTTTCTTTGTGATGAAATAAGATTTGCATAGGCATTTTCTTGGTGATTTATAAGAAATTCAAATGAATATGATTTAAGCTAAAGCTAGATATACAGATAAAATATATGCTTGTAATTTATTTCATTTTCTTTATTGTCCTATACTGTTACAAATATATGTGTACCTGAATTTGTTTGTTTGCTTCAACTATATTTGGGAAATTACTATTAATAAAGATACCCATTTGCTCATGGACAGAACGACCTCAAAACTTTTTAATACTAGAAAAATTAATTGGAGCAAAGAATGGGGCAGAGAAATGGTGGAATGGGAAAAAGAATAGCTCCCTAGAGACTGGAGGGGTCTTAAATAGCTTCCGATCAGTCCACCTCTCAAAGGAATTTTTATAAGTCAAAATCATGAGGCAAGTACCATATAGATCAAAATTATGATAACTACAATTGCAAATGTAGTCACTAAGATAACATTGATCTAATGATAGCAAGTTAATGAGTGACAACATTAACCTTGGTCAATAATTTATAGTCCTGGTTTTGTCTTTAGTGTTAGCAATACTAGTTTTAATCTTAGTCATATTCTTAGTGGTCTTAGTAGATTGTGGAGAGGATGTCCCACTCCCAATTTGATAAATCTTCAAAGATATCTTAGTTAATTTTCTATTGTTGCTGAGACAAACTACCTAACACCCAGAATTAAGGAGGGAAAGATTTATTTAGCTCATAGTTTGTGGGGGTTTCTGTCCATAATCAGCTGACTCCAAGGCAGAGTGGTCTGACACAGGGACAGTAATTCAAAGAAGGGAAAGTCTGCAACAGTAAAAAAAGCAAAAGGGGAAGGAATTTTCTTTCCATCCCTCATACTTTATACAGGCTACCAACCCTAGGGCAAGAGTAGTACTTACCTCACTAAGCCCAGCAGGAGATAATGAACTAATCACAGAGTCTAGCTTTGTTCACCTCTGAAAAACTTGCACCCCTAACCAAGATTCTAGAGTCAGTCACCTTCAAAAGCTTCCCTCCTGAATGTATGAGGCTTTGGGGGGATATCCAGACACAAACCATAACATGGGGTTAAGAAATACCCTGACTCGAAGGCACTGAAACCTCCTCTGAATTAAGAATGTAAAAACAAGCAGGTGATGGGTACACCCTACTTCCAGGGGAGAATCTCAGAATCACCTACGCTCACCCACATCATTTGGAATTTAGTGGAATGAGTTAGTATAAAATGTATGTATAACACATATGTAGTACATGAGTTTATGAGACAGATGAATCCCAAAGCTCCATAAGAATCTACAAGTGAGGCAAGATCATGCACAGAGTAGTAGAGGAAAGAAAAATATTAGCTATAGCTAAAACCCTCCAAAACCTCAAATTCTTTGAGTAGGTTGGTAAGTGCTTGTTTGTTGATCATAAAATAAAATAAACTCAACTTCCTTCTCCAGTGCTGATCTGTAGACCACCCACATGAATGTAAACACTTATTAAGTAAAGAACGTTGCTGATCTTCAAAGTCAGTTATGTGCCCTGCAAGAACAACTCACAATTTAAGCAAATGGCCACGAATTCAAAGAGAGAAGAAAATTGTTACCCAACTTAGGAGGTTATTGTGAAGGGAAGTACACATAAGTGCCTGTCAGTGAAGCTCAAGAACCTCTCATGGAAATGAGATTGATAATAAATCTGAAGCATCTGGCCAATAGTAGGTGGCACTTGATAAAGATGGAAGAATTTCCAGGCCCATGTCACATGCACAACAACTGCTTCCAGAACAGAACAGTTTTAGCTTACAAAATCAACTTTGTTGCATGTGGGTGAGCAACCACTATGTAACTGCTTACAGTGACACTACAAGTCATTACTCTTAAAGCTTGTCCTGCCTGATTTTTCAGCTGTGTGAACATTATAGAACACTTGTCCTTAGGAAGGGACATTAGGTGGTGCTGTGCCACTGAAATAGTAGCAGACCATTCCTCATCTGTTAAAGCCATTTCTCCAGGAGCTGCTGCAGGACAACTGGACAAATCCTCACACACTGTCAACACAATAACAGAAATCTCTGTACATACCCCTTGGAGTTTCAGCCCTCCATGTTTGTTCCCTTTGACAGGAGCAAACAGATTCCGTACATTGAAGGTCCCAGACAGGAGCCATCCCACAGATTCTGAAAGGGGAGCTTGTTTTATGCCTTCCACACCCTTCAGGCTCTTGAGCACACGTGTCAACAGTATAACAGTTTTGATGGCCTCCACAACGTGCAAGACAAGTGGTGCCAAAATCAGGGAAATCCCTTTGCTGACTGGAGGTTTCCTTCTCCTTTAGCTCTGTTCCATTTCTCCCCTCTCCTGGACCTGTACCCACCTGCCAAATGGATCCGGTGTTGATGGTAATACAAAAATATCTCCCCTTGAATACGCATGGTATGAGTAATGTCCACAGTTCTTCCTGTGTGTCTCTAAAAGACCTGACATTGTCTCCCATCAGAAACGTGCCATGAATGCATTTTTCTTTCAACCTGACACTATTAAAGAGGCTCAGGTTTAAAAGCTGAGCTGAGATCAGGCACTACACAGCCAGCCAACCCAGATATGAGCCTTGATTTGAATGGACACTTCTAAGAAGTTGTTCAACATGTTAATTTCATAGCACAAATGTTCACTTCCTTTCAAGGACTCAGTTGATTATTCCTAAGGCAGTCCCCATGAGTAAGTACAGTACACAGATATAGTGTGCTTCATTGCTGTTAGCTCCTAAACTAGAATACTAGTCTCCGGCTGTTTTAGACCACAGACTAGTCTACTGCTTTTTTAGGGTGTTTGTGGTCTCATCCAGCACATTTGTGTTTTCAGTGGTACAGGCCACTTACCTGAATTTAATTATCTCGCAGATTTCCAAATCAAAGCAAGCCATGTATTTTGTGCACAAGGAAGAAGAATGTAATCAAAAGCTACCTCTGAACGAGTACAAGGGCAAGCTTGCCTCAAATTGCCATCTCACCCTGTCAATGTCAGTAAGGGGCTTTTTAGATTTTGGGATTGAAGGGAGGAGAAACAGAGATACCTCAACTTTCCATCTCACTGTGTACAATTGGTAAAGGACTTTAATAGTTCAGAACAGATGAGAGGGAGGCACAGAGAGATAATGCAAATCTCCAATTCTGCTTTATTACTTTCAGTAGTCTTCAGTTCATACTGCTCTAAATCAGGCTTAGCTTCCCGAGTTTGGTGGTATCTGTCTGTTTTGTCACTTTTATTGAGCTCAGGAAAGGAGGAGTTATTCTTTATGAACTCTGCAGGAAGCAGTGTGCAATGGCTCCTTATTAGTAATAGGAAAAGTCTAAATTTTATTCTTCCCTTCTGCATTGTCAGGCACAGTAGTTCACAAGGTGGTGTAATGCAGAATTTCCTGGATCTGGCTCCTATCCCCTGGTCCTTATGCTTTTCATACAATTGGAAGCATGACCACGCCTACTTCCCAGAGAATCACACAGTATTTCTCCATGACAAGTGTTGGAGATCACCAGGACACAGCCCTCTACTCACCAGGTAACACCAGAGGTTACTTTTTTAGGAAGAAAATGGTCATGAGATTTGAGTTGAATACACACTTCCAAGAAGATGTGCAGACTGGTAGCACTATAGCAGAAAAGTCCCCGTCTTTTGAACACTACTCTAGGAATCCCGTTGACCTTCTCCTAGAACTCTTCTTGCCAGAAAATAGTGTACAGACACTGTGACCCACACTGTCATTGACTTTTATATTAGAAGAGCAGTGTCCTGCTGCTGCAGGGTGCCCTTGGTGTCATCCAGCACCTGTGTTCTTACTGACAGTCCATCCCACCTAGAAAACAATTCAGAAGCAGAGCTGGACTCAGAGAGGCAGGGATAGGAAGAGAGTGGAAGATAGCATCACACTGACAGTCTAGTCCCAAACTTATAATTTAATACACAGGCATCCTGAGAAGTTACCATGAGCAGTAGGCCTCAGTTTATTCATCTATAAAATGACACAAGTTTTTGGTTTTAGGATTAGTGAAATGTAAGAGATTTTGTATGAATATTAGCACAATTTGTGGAAAACTGCATTTGGAAACTTGTTATTAAGAAGCTGATTGTAGTAGTGTATTAACCTGGGACTCTGTCACACTTTTCTGGACAAAGTCTATGTGAATTCAGGAAAGCTGCAGCTTAAAAGGAAACTGAGTAGAAAATCAGGCGAAAGTGCTGCTTAGTAATTACTAGGCCCTATAAATTCTCCACAATAGTGCCTTCCAATTGAACAGATATTGGGGCATCTGTCCATCCTTGGACGAATTAACAGCTCCTGGGATTTGGTTGGTAAAAATATCTCATGTGTGCCGATTTCTCTTTCACTGAGACAACTGTTTTCAGTCATATCACTTTGATTAAAAGTCTAGGTTTGTGGCTCATAAAACCTCTATGAAGATAACCACAAAATCCCAACCATTCTACTGACACGAGCAGCTAAGTTCAGATGTCATACTAAGAAACTTCAGGAAAAATTACTCATCCTGGTATTAC